ACAAAATCCCCAATTAAAAATGCCCATTTCATTGTAAGTATCAAAAAATAAAGAAATATCCACTAATTATCAAGATATTTTCCTCCCACTAAGGAAATAATTTTATGCAAACTTGGTAATGAACTTTCAGCTAGGATTGTTTGCTAAAGATCATTATATCCTCTAATTATAAATGAAGACGGAACATATCTAAATGAAGAGGAAAACTGAGATGGTAGGAGGAAATGGAAAACCGAACCCATGTGTAAGGTTGCCTTTCTTTTTATTATTAAGCCATATCTTAAATGACTGAATTTTTTTTGCATTGTTCTCATCTTGACTATTTATCATTTTGTTCTAGCATTATTACAAAACCTTTTATTACTTTTCCAAGTTTAAACAATTCACTATACATGTTTCCAAAGCTTTTAGTCACTCTTTAATCCTTTCTACTAATTATATAACATCAGTTAAACATACAGCACATATGATCAATATTACATCAAAAAATTATATTTTATCCCAACTGATTATGCAACATAATGCTTAAGATATCTAGGAGGTCATTAATTGTAAATGGTTAATTAGTACTGATTTGTGTATTAAATCATTGAACTTTACACATGTATTTTTTATCCATAGTTCCTTTCAGATATTTACAACAATTCATTTAAGAGGACATATATCAATGGGCTTGATTCTCTACACCTGGTTTCTATGCAACTTTGAGAGACATTAAAAATGCTCAAGCCTTTAAAAAAGAACCCAGGGGAAATGCATGTTATACATACTTTTCTGGCTATTCATGATGTCAATAAATTGCAATGCTTCTAAACTGTCTTTTAGATTTAAGGAACTTATTTTGCTTATTTAACTCCAGTCTCTCAGATTTATTTTTTCCTCCACAGACATGTTTCCAAAAACTGAATCTATGTTCCTTCAAGAACTCAAGGAGGGGCTCCAGTGGTAGAACTCCTGCCTAGCAAGTATGAGACCCTAAGTTCAAACCCAGAACCACTTAAATAAAATAATATAAGAACTCGAGGAATACATTACTAGGAAATACCACTTTATAATTTAATGGGCAGAACTCTTATTAACTAGATCTCAGTTTTTGAAGGTGTGCACAAAAATTTCCAAAGATAGATTCTTTTCCTCTCTCATTAGTATTTTCCAGTGAAAGAATTTCATTAAAAAGTCTGTATCTCTCTATCAGTGCCACTTTCATGGCTAATTTGATAAGAATAGGAGTTGGAAAATTTTCAAGAAAAGCCTAATTTTCAAAAGTCAATGTACTTCAGTAATAGCTAGCTCAAAGAGGTAAGATACCTAGCATTTCTTCACTTTTCACTAATACCCCATGTTTGACATTTTAAATCTCACCTTTTCCAGTCATTAGCTTTGATCCATACACTTATAAGAGCTATCACTTTCATATAGGAAATGCAAAGTGCAGAGGTAGCCTTTAATTATAAAATTTCATAGGCACACATAGAAACAAATATCTCTTAAGTACAAACTTAATAATGATCTACACTATACTGTAAGTGCAAATGTTAGCATAACTAATATTGCTTTATAGACTAGACTGGTGACACTAACTGCTAGCAAAGAGGTTTAAAAGAAATGATTATTTTCTAAAATTGGACAGTCTTCTACATAATTATATATCACTGAAATTGTAACACTCCATTGTACTTCATGACAGGTCAGCAAGACCACTCACAGGAAGCAAATAAAGATAGATAAGGAAGAGTTCTTTTCTTCAGGATGCCTTTTTAAATGATGCTGTTATTGGATAGCAACTCAATATAATAATATATCTCACTTTTGAGTCAATTTATGGGATGCAAAGTGCCCAGAAACAGTTATCTTGAGCTAATATGTGTTAAAATAATTGGCAAGAACACTGAGAGACAGACAAAGCAAGCAAACACACACACATACATACAATACTCCCACAAAAGTCACAGTTAGCTTGTCAGATTAATATATAATAATGACACGGAAGACCATAATTTAAAAATATTAAAATATTCTATTGGCAGTACCCTACATGTAAAGCATAAATGTTCACAAAGTGAACTTAAGTGATCCATTCTTAGAGTAAACTAATGTTAAAAACTTTTAAATTTGATATTATCATACAGATGGCACTAGAAAAATAATTTTGCATTATGTGGACAAATGCCACTTTTATTTTCAAGACAAGTTGCAATTCAAACTCTCTAAAATAAAGTCTAATATGTATGCTTGACGAACATACGAAAACCAAAATATTATCCATGTTTTGAAATCTTAAATAATCAAGTACCCAAAACATGTTTCAGTGTTTACTTGAAATGAAATAAAACTATGCTGGAGGAAGTAAATGCCACACATGAATATAACACTATTTCATTCTCATGTACCTTTCCTTTAAACACCACAAGTGTCATTCCAATTAATCTGGAGCATTAGGCATACACACAATACCCAGTCAAATGTAACATTTCAAAGAAATGGTACATGCATTACTGACTAAAAGTTTGCTTAAAAGGCATCTTTACTTCTCCCAATAAATAGCTTCTCTAAATTTCTCAAATCTACATTAGTTTCTTCGACTGAGGACAACAAGAAAAGAATTTAAAGTGTCAACAACAAATAACATATAATAATGTGTGTGCGTGTGTGTGTCTATGCTAGAAAAGACAAAAAACATCAACATGAAAAGAAAGTTTAGAAAAGTACAATAAAGTTGAAAAGAAATTAGTAACAAATACTAATTAAACCAAATAAGTTATGACCTTACATTTGTTGTATACTAACATCTTTGATTTTGTTTTTATTTGCCTTCCGCCCCTCTTGTTTATTTTTATGATAAGATATGGAGTTTTCTTACCATGCATGGCATGTTTGGGGCCTGAGAAGAGTTTGACCAGGGCCAGAAGGCGTCTTCCTCATTCATATACATGAGGAGTAGAGCTGTGATTTGGCTCATCCCCTGACAGTACCCAACTTCTAAAAGGCAAATGAGAACACAGAAACTGGGGAGTTAAATCAAATTACAGGTAAGGCATGTAGAAAAAGCTGATTATAAAGTCTCAGGAAATGCCTAGATCTATTACTTAGGGCAGTTATACAGATGAATATTACAATCTTTGCAGCACTATGCCACAATTACAAAGAATGAAACTATGCTCACAAATAAAGGTACAGGTGCAGATAAAGTCTGAACTTACCTTTAAAAAGTGTTTTCTGTTGACAGTTATACTTTTTTTAAGTACTAATATTTCTCAGTTCACTATTCCCTTCTTGCTAAGTGATGCCACAACTGTCTTCTCCTACAATCCTGTTATTGTCTTGTCTCCTCTGTTTCTGGGCCCTTAAGTAAACCCTTTTTGGGATGCCTATCTAGCCTATGCTCCCTTTTAAGGACAACTACTCTCTTCATAGTTCTGGTTATGATGTGGCCTTAGCGATTCAGGTTTATGCCATAGGAATACCAGCAGAAGAGATGCCTGGTTTCACTGATCTAATGAGGCACTCTACTCTCTTTAGGAAATTTGAACAAAAACAGAAAGTCATAACCACATGGAGTGATGTACTTAAACAGCATAGTCACACGAATCTGAGGGTGAAATTTTAGTCATGAATAACTAGAAAGTAAACCAAGGAAACAATCTGGAGAGATAAACAGTGGAATAAAGTTCACAAAGATAACTGGAAATACTACATGGCCACAGAGTGGGAGAAAAAGTGTAACATCCTTCTCACTGAATGCTGCTCACTTCACAGCTGCAGTTCGTAAGACGTCCAGCTATTGCTTCATTTCTGGAGAAGCCCCATTAATAATCTCTTTTTAACTTTCCCTGGTTTGAGTGAATTTTGTTCTTATAATTTAAAAGCTTTAGTTTATAATAGAACTTATATATTCAAAGTTCCAAGGTTATCCTTCCTGAAATCTAGCCAACAGGTATTTAACACTCATGTCAGGTCTTCCCCACCAAATTATCTTCTTCTCACAATGGTAAATGCCTTAAAAGCAGTATGTCTATTACCAAAGAGTTCATTCAGTCTACCCCAGGACATCACTTTATAAATATGAAAGGCAACTTCCTGGGAGTGATGAAGAGTTAGCAAGCTACCAAATTCCTGTCTCACCCTGCCCAATTCCCAGTATTATGTGCTTAAAACAAAAAATAAAACAACCACCACAAAACATAATAGAACAAGAGGGAGAGACACAGTGAGTTCACAGGCATACTGTGGTGGTAGCTAGGTTTTTTCACTTCCAAATCAAGCTCTGCTCTAAGACACTAGGATTACCATAGGAGCAAAAAATGATCCACTATGGAGACCACCTGGTCCTGAGATGAAGAAATCTGTCGAGAAGGGCCTTGTTAGGCAGGGAATGCCAAAAGGAGCCTCCAGTTCCTCAGAATACCACTCAAAGAACTGGGCAGTAAGGCCCCAACTTACCGTATTATAAATAGAATATGCAGCAAGAACATGGAATAAGGATTGTTGCCTAGAGAAATAAAAATTTACATTAAACACAATTTAGTTATTTCAGATACTTTTCAAATTATAAACTTAAAAACAATAGGCTGACTAGAAACAAATTATCCAGATAAAATTACTATTATAATAAAGAAATTATCCAAAGCTAAAACTGAAGTGATAGAACCTAAAGAATCTAAATTTGAGACTAGATAACATTCATTCTGGTAAGACTTTATATCAAAACAACAAAGGACTTCAGAATTTAATTTGTGGCCTTCTTTCATTGACTATCTTACTCTGAAATCATCCAAAGAGAAGCCACTAGCTTAACAGAACAAGGGAATGACCTTTTGAAGACTCAGTTACAGCACTAGCTGCATTCAATACCTGCTGTGCTGGGGCACTGACCTGGAGGAAGTCAGCCTCTGATGGATGGTGTTCTTTTCCTATACCTAGGATCCAGGGAATCTAAGACTCAGGGTGCAAGCAAGAATGCCAGCACTCTCTATTATTCCTAATGACTTTCTGAAAGTTTTTTGCTTCTTATCCCTACAATCTTGCCTCTGGTAATATAGAGATCTTAGTTCCAAAAGGAGGAACACTTCTACCAGGAGACATAACAATGATTTCACTAAACTAGAAGTGAAAGCCCAGTCACTTTGGGCTTTTTATGCCTTAGTAGGCAAGAAGGGACTGTGCTGGTTAGGGTGACTGATCCTGATTTCTAAGGGGAGGGGAGTGGGTTGCTACTAAACAGTGGACATTAAGGAGCAATATACCTGGATTACAGGAGAACATCTGGGAATCTCTTAGTATTATCAAGCCCTGTGATCAAAGTCAATGCAAAAACTACAAAACCCAATTCAGGCAGGACAACTAATGGTCCAGTTTGGGTCATTCTACCATATAAAGAACTACAATAAATGGAGGTACTTGCTGAGGGCAAAGGGAATATGGAAATACACGGTAGAAAAAGGTAGTTACAAATACCAGCTATGATCACATGATCAGTCATAGGACTAACTATAAACTGTTACAAACACAAGTATTTTGATATGCCTGTTTATAATTATCATTTTTTCTTCTTTTATCATAGAAGCAGAAAGGTGACTATTATCCAAAGACCTGGCATCCTCTTGTTGAAAAAGGGTTAAGCATTTCAGTTCTAAGTAGAATAGTTGTATAACAAAGTATGACTTTGTTACTGTCTCATCTGTAAATTAAGAATGGTTTAAGGAAGGTCCAGGTGTGGTTCAGTGGTAAGAATGGTTTAAGGAAATGTGTGCAGGTACCAAGTTGACAAAGGTAGACTGTGATGGTCAGCTTCGGGTGTCAACTTGGCTAGGCTAAAATTCCCCATTATTCAAACACTGACTTATTTGTTGGTATGAACGTATTTTGTGGATGTGATTAAAACCCATGGTCTGTTGAACTGGAGTAGGGGAGCTTATGCTGGGGTAATCCTGGTTGGCTTGATTCAATCTGACTTCCCTGAAGAAATTTCACCTGAATGAATTTCAGCTCATGCCCAGGAGTTTTAGCCTGTCCTTCCTGACGGTCTGCTCAGTGTATTTTGAACTTGCCTAGTAGCCCCACAATTGGACAAGATCTCCTACTGATTTGTGTCACTGGTTGAACTCAGACTGATACACAAGTCTGAAAACTGTACTTCCATTTATAAATTGTCACAGCAATGATATGGCAATGTGTAATACTTAGTGCCCTGTTAATCTCAGTTCATTAATTTCTCATTTTATTCATTTTCATTTTTAGTTTCATTTTTGCAGGAGGTCGAAGTTAGGTAATGTGTCACTGACAGTTTTCAAGTACACAAACCTCTCATTCTTTTCTTCAACTGTTAATTTATTTATTTTGAAACAGGGCATCCCCATGGAGCCCAGGCTGATATGGAACAAAAGACTGGCCTGAACTTGCAATCCTCCTGCCTCCCAATATCTGTAACTTTTATTTACTATATTCCTAAGAATGCTAAAACCATAAAATGTTTTTATCAATTTTATAACACCTACTATGACATAGGTAAAAAAATTTAAGGTAAAGCAGATTCTAAATTTCACACAAAATGGACTCAAATGATCTACCAAAAGCTGAAACCTCTAGGAGCTAAATAAAAATTAATAATCTATTCAAGATATTCTAAACACATTTTAACTTAATACAGACTTTGATAAAGACATTTATAAATGCTATTTACATTTTGTAATATTAAACTTTACTTACTTAACACCATATCTGTCTCTAAACATAATATGATCCCTAAATGTGCGGTTGACATCAAGGTCTATTTGTCTGATATCAGGTGAACAACCCCGTGCTCTGTGTTTTAATTTCTGAAGAAAAAGGAAAGAAAGCACATTTTTATGAAAATCACATGTTGAAAGTCTATGATAGATAGTAAATGACTTATTAAAACCTTTATTGGTTTAGGAAAAATCATTCCAATGGTTTAAAAAGAAAAACCAAAGAAACATAAAAAGGTACACAAAAAAAAACCTTTCTCTTCTGTGCTCCACCTATCCTACTCTCATCCTTCCTTCTTCCCTCAACATTCCCTCCTATGGTTTAATACAGTCATATTTTCACTTAGGCCAGGGAACTTTTGGAGTTTACATTACTAAGACTCTGACGAAGTTCTTCATGATTAAGCACGGAGACTACTAGGATTTCCTTTTCCTTTTCAGCACAATATTCTTGCTTTCTTTGGAGCACATCATTCCCTTCCATCTTGATTTGCTTCATTTTCCACATCCTTGTAGCTAATTCTATTACAAAAGCACTATATACTGCATGAATCTCTGAAGATATTCCAAAAGTACAGCCACCAACTTCTTGTTGAAGACTCTCTCGTAGGACAGCTGGACCTGTACCTGCCTAGCTCAGGTCGGAGGACTTCTCTTCATCATCTTCTGGGCCTTTCCTTGATTTTGCTCTTGGCTTGGTCCTCTTGATTCTAGGGCTCACATCTTTGCTTTCTTGGTTTACTCCCTTGCTCTGCTCTCAAGAAACACATTGTCCAGTAGCTCCTGTGAAAGGGTTTGTAGGAGCTGAGTTCTTGAAACTTTGAATGTGTAATGATTCCCCTTCTCAATTAATTCTAAGTTGGAATATATTTTGTTCAAAAGGCACGGCACTTCAGTGTCTTCTGGCCTTCCATGTTGCTACTGAAATTCTTCTCTACATACAATCTATTTTGCTCTCTGGAAGCTGATAGGAGCTGCTCTTTCCGTTATCTAAAATTACCCATTTCACTACTTGATTTGGATCTATTTTCATCCAGAGTTGTTCACTTGATAAATACTTTCAATCTTAAAAATTCAATACCTCTCAGTTCTGAGATATTGTCTTCAATAACTCCTTTGTCAATTTGCTTATACTTCCTTTCCCTTATACCCATATTCTCTTTCTGGAACTTAATTATTATAGTGTGGGATCTCCTAGGCTATTAACTAATTTTCTGTATTACTTCCCATCTCTTTGTCTTTAAATTTTATTTTCTAGGAAGTTTCCTCAATTGTTATTTTTCACTAAGTTTTTTATTTCTATTATTTTTTATATTTGTAAGCTTTGTTGTTCTTGAATGTTCTTTCTATAGTTACCTACACTTGTTTATGGATGTGATACCTTTTTATTTTAATATTGACAGCTTCTAAAGTTCTCCTCTTGCTTTATAGTGCTTCTCTTTATTTATTTTTTTTGGTGGGGAGGCACTACTGAGTCTTGAACTCAGGGTCTCATGCTTGCTAGGCCTGCTAGACAGGCGCACTATCACTTGAGCCACTCCCATAGGCCTCTATATATTTCTTGTAAGTACTTTTTCCCATTTGTTTTCATTTGTCTTCCATGTTAGTCCCTTTCCTCAAATGAATAGCAATACTTGTCTTTTATTTAAAAGTGAGATACTAAACAAAGCTGTGTGCCTGGGTGGGGCTTCACAACAGAGGTCTTCATTGATGAGAGGTGATCTGGCCTGGCAGTTGCAGTGTGGTCTTGGAAGTCAGAATCTTTGGGTTTATTTTCTTGTGCTGGTCACAGTCCCCAGAGAAGTCTTTTCCAGCTCTGGTCAGGAAGGCAAGCACCTGGCTGCCAATATTCTTGAGGAAAAAAGCTGACCCGCTCAAAATCCAAAACATTCCATTCTTCTGCTTTGATGACAGTAACCCATCCTCAGCAATGTTAGGGCTGGCTTTCTGGTTTGATTTATCCTCCCAACCAGAAGCCTCCAGTCCTGGGCCAACACTAAGAGGAGACTTGGGGGTTCCAACTGCTTCTCAAAGAGACTTTTAACCACCTACATTCAACATCAGCTACATTTCCAAAGGAACCTACAAGTAGCCATTTTACCAAGCCTTGTGGAGATTTGAGGTATAAATCATCTTGCTTTTCCAATTTCCCATTGCCAGCACAGGATTAGTTTTCTCAGGTTTGCTACATTTACTAAATGCTTGTCTGCACTCTGCTTTCAAAAATTGGCAGCTGTTATCTCTTCTGCCATTTTCTTATTCCTTGTGGGTTTGTCTTTTTAAAAACTCTGCTGTCAATTTAATGACATTTCAGGAGGAGAGGGAGCTAAATTATGGATATGTTTAATTACCACGGTTAACAAGATAGTAGATAAAAATGTATATTAATTTGTACTTAACCAAGTTTAAGTAAAAATAAGCATATACATACATATTAATATTAGTCCATTTACTCCGTTCTGGTAATACAGATTTCTGCTAAATCAATTTCAATAAATACACATTAAAACAAAACTTAATTCCTGACTTAAGCTGAAAGTAGAATAAAGGTTGTTCGAATATGCCTGGCATGTTATATATATGTGGCATGTAAGTATGCATGTTAAGTATACATATGTATTTTAGTGTACTGAGTTGGGAACTCTGAGAACGGCACCTTCTATAGCTTTTTAAACACAAAGAGTAGGCTTGAGGTATGGTTCAGTGGTAGAATACTTCACTAGCATGGCAGAGGCCCTACTTTACATCCCAGCTCAGCAAAATAATCAAAACAAAACATGAAAGGTAACCAGAGTATGTTCCAGAGTTCTGAAGACAGAGGAAGATATTTGTAGTACTATATTAGAATCATATAACTGCTAACATATAAATAATGTTATTTCTGATATAAGTTGGTACAGAAGACATTGTAAAAATCTACCTTTAAAAATAATAATCTGCACATATTTGGTCTTTTAGTATTTTTTTTAAAGGTAATGTTCAAGTTCAGAGGTTTTAGTTATTGTTCATAGGTCTCTGGTAAAAGATGAGATGTTGAAACATTGGAAAAAAATGTTTGACAAGACATGATAAAAAATGCCTTAAAATAAAATTTAGTTGGAAGTGAGATAATCCAAACACATCTACAATACCAGCTTCTTTTGAGAATAAGAAAGTCCATCACACAAAAAAAAGGCCTTTAGACAGAAGAAAAGCCCAGCTAAGTTGGTGAAAAAAAATAATAGGCTGGAAATGTTATTTATGACCTAAACTATTTACAAGCTAGTGCACGAATACAGTAAATCAAGGGTGTTTCTTGCATTCTGAAAGAAAGGAGGTAAACAGTCTCTACTATTATTCTAGAGACTGAATGGGTTGAGCTCTGTATCACAATATAAGAATAAATATGTTGTCTAAAAGAAGTAAGATCTAATGAACCTATAAGCCTAAATCAGAAGTACAGTGGAAGAAAATGAGGAGTAACTCTGTTGAGTTTGCCTGCCAGATTACCAAGAGAGACTAAAGCTGTAGAGAAGTTTGTCATCAACTATGGATTGACCCTGACCTTCTACTATAAGGTGCACTGCTAGACATAACAGAGACAGATATAAGTGAGATCAATTAAAAGAAGAGGAAAAGGCAGTAGGTAAGAGTATTGGCTCAGGAGCCCAACAGCCTGAGTTTTAAATCCTATCTCTGCCCTTGCTAACCCTGGGGTAAAAAGTTCCTTAACTTCACTAAGCTCAATTTCCTCATATGTAAAATGAAAGCAACAACAATAAAAATCTCCTTGTTGATGTTATTGCAAGAATTAAATGAGGAAGTTCACATAGAGCACTCAGATAGTACCCGCACATAAAAGTACCCCCCCTCAAAGTAGGTACAGTATTTTTAAAAACACATCAATATAGTTTCAAGTTAAAACCAATTTTATCCAAATTGAAGGGAAGGGATTAGAAAAGGAATTTACAATGTGCCTTGAAAACTCATCTCTGTTTTCCCTCCCTTTTGGAAAAAAGCTCCCCTCAGATACCTCCTATTCCATGAAGACTTCTGAACAATAAAGGTGATTTCTTTCTTTCAGTCAAGAAAGAAAGATTTCTTTCAATTAGCCAAGTTTTTTAATTTTACACTTTTACAGTATCTGTCACATACTAACTCGTATTAAGCATTTGTATGTAATCATGTCTCCTCCAACAGAACAGTGTCTTCACACAGTGTACCTATCCATCTTGTGGGAGCTTCAGAACATCACACAGCGCTTCATTCCAAGAAAGGATGTGCAAGTCATCAGGCGAACTTGAAGGACAACAAAGAATTTCATCCAACTGAGAAAAAGCTTGGTAGATTAAGAGAAGGTTGTTTTACTACCACTGAAGATCCAGTTCATAGAGATGTGTGCAGTGAAGTGTATACCACTTTCAGGGAGAGAGAGGAAGAGATGAGGAAAGAGAGAGGTGTCAGGAATGGAAGACTTGGTTAAATTAGGATGCTAGGTAAACAGTAAAAGAAATGTTTATGAAAATATTGAAAATTATAAGTTTGAAAGCACTAGTGGTTAAATAATTTGTAGTTGCTATCAGTTTTTTACTAAATGGTTCTTTTATTTACTGATCATTGGATAACTGTATTCGATGTACAAAAACCTAAAATGTAACAAAAATTGTATTTTACTGCTAACAGGTACACTGGGTTGAAGAGTGTCCCCACAAAATTCATGGCCATCCAAACCCTGTGATTGTGGTCTTACTTGGAAGTAGAGTCTTTGAAGATGTAGTCAAGTTAAGATGAGGTCATACTAGATTAGAGTGAACCCTGACTATAATGACCTCATCAGGAAAGACAGAGACACAGTAACAGAGGGAAGAAGGTACTGTGACAAAGGAGGCAGAGAAGGACAGACACAGATGCAATCTAAGGAATGTTAAGAAATTCTAGCAACTACCAGAAGCTAGGAAGGGACAGGAAGGATGATTCTTCCTAGAGCCTTGAGAGATAGCTTGGTCCTACTGCTCACTACATTTCAGACCTCTAACCTTTAGAATTGTGAGAGAGCAAATAACTGTTGTTTAAGTCACCCAGATTGTGGTACTTGGTTATAGCAAGGAAACAAACGCAGTATAAAAAAGAAATTTCTACTTTCATTAAATTTCTATATTCATAAATTAATCAAATATTTATTCAGTGCTTACCATATACTAGGCACATACTATCTCAGACACACTTCATTTTGAGCAGTGGCTTTAAAACTATGGCACTAAAAGCAAATACCTAATCAACAAAAATAATGTGAAACCCTAACATCCTGAGACATAAACTCAGAGTCTGTATAAAGCCAAACAGCTAAATTTTTAAAATCTTCTATTCACAAAATATTAGTAACTCTTTAACTAGTACTTATTTCCTTTTACCTTGGTGAAATTTCACCTGAATACATACACAAAAAAAGAAAAGAAAAATACCAAAAGAATACCAAAGTAACTTTTATAATTGGTTTTGGCTTTAAACTATAAATAATTCCTTTTTAATTCCATTTTAAGTTATTCTATTTATATTTTCAAAGGAACAAAGTTCAAAAATCTAAGGGTCTAAGATTCTTAGCTGTAAATTTCTCCTTTCAAAGGTTAATATAAAACTTAGTTTTAGAAAGGGTATAGCTGAGATGACAAGGAGATAAATTTAATATATTTACTAAGGAAAGCATTACTGATCACTCAGTCAAAAGTTTAACTTTTTATTAATAAATAATAAAATTTAATTATCTTGGGGGGAAATCCTCCTTTTTTCAGCCTTATAGAAGAATCACACAGGCAGGTATTGCATAAACTGAATTGTGCTGTTATTCTCCCATAAACTCTAAAAATGTCATGAAAAATCTCTTTACTGATAATACAATCAACAGTTCATTTTTCCTACAAATATGCCTCAACATTGATGGATCATTGTAAGTATTTTGATTGATCATTTCCTCAAAAACACAACATAATTTTAATATAATTTCAAGTGATGATTAATCTAATCACCTTGAAAGCTAAATTATTTTGCTTCTTAATTTCAAAGTAACAGTTAGGTTAGCTACTCACACTATAAAGATCTCTTGTTTCTTCTTTCATTTTAGGGATCTCAAGAAGGAGAGCCCACACTTCACCTCGGAGCTGGAGTGGGATTCCTTTGTAAATTCTCCTATGAAACTGATCACAAGATAAAGAAACTAGAGGTTAAAAATCAGATAAAAGCTTGAAGTAGTCTCTCCAACCAATCCAATTAATATTTGCTAATACTTTGTTTTCAGGGTATCCATGACAATTAATTGATACATTTTAATAGTTGGTACATTTAGATTCTGTCATCTCCTTCAAATCCTAAAAGGGAGACGCAGACACAGAAGGAGAACATAAACAAGAAAATGTCAACAATACTCAGTACATTAGTGTGTTTATACCATACAAACCGGTCCCTGAAGAGGCATGAAAGCATAGTCAATGCTCTTTGGTAAGTTATGAACATTTTACAAGTTCCCTTCTTATATAATTTCTTCCTTTCCCTCCTCCATCCACCATTCAATTAGAAGGTGCATTGAAATAGTAAAAAGGGTGCATTGTGCCAAAAGTGTCCTTATGAAGTGTACTATTTAACCTCTAATTTCTTTCCTACCACTTTTTCCCTGGGGACCTCTAACAGCTGGAGCTCCTTCCCATCCATCTCTTCAGTTCTTTCATACATTCCTTCTACCCTCTCCCCAACACACAATGTGTGTCCTTCTCCTCCCTCCCTCCTTCCTTCCCTCCTTTTTTTCTATTCTTCATATTTCTTTGGGAAAATTTTTGTCCTTAAATGCTATCAAATCTATCTGATCCAACAAAATAGCAATAAATCTTTATTGAAGGAAAATATCACTTTTGAATGAAATTAGGCATGTCAACAGTATCATCAAATACTTGGGTCCTTGAAAAGTGTACTGCCATTGCCTAAAGAATCTTAAGATCCAAAATTCTTCTCATTCTTCTTGTATTTGCAATTTCCTCAATTGCAATTATTCTAAATAACATACTTAACTGTTAAGGTCATTACAATGCATTGCATATAACACTTTGAAGTTTAAAAGTAGACGTCCACACAAACAAATGAAGACAGAAGCCCTTAAGATACAAAGTAAGAACCAGTACACAATGACCTTTATCATCAGGATACAGGTTGCTGAGTATCCTTTACTTGAAATGCCTGTAACTGAATGCCTGCAATTTTTTTCAGATTTTTGAGTATCTGCGTATACATAATGAGCTATCTTGGAGATGGGACCTAAGTATTAACATCAAATTCCTTTCTGTTTTATATACACCTTACACACACGGCCTGAAAGTAATTTTGCTCAATCCTTTTAGTGTGCCTGTTTATTGACTGTGATTGTTCACATGAGGTCAGGTGTGGAATTATCCACTTGCAGCATCATGTTGGTGTCCAGAAAGTTTTGAATTCTGGAGCACTGTGGATCTCATATTTTCAGATTAGGGATGGTCAACCTGCAATGTATTTCAATAGTATAGCAAAAAAAAAACAGATGCAAGTTTTAATAATTAAGTAAATTATAACAAGGTTAAATAACTTGCTCCAAAGCAAACAGAAGATGTTACCAATTAGAAAAAGATAACTGATTTTATAGTTCATATAACATAAAGAGCATCCTTTTTATGACCACAGCACATTGTTTTTGCCCAACTGGACTTCCTAAATTACATGTAATAGTAAAAAGAAAATATTAAGAAAATCCAAGAGCATAAAACATTTCTTAATGATAATATAATTATACCCAAAACTTAAAAGGAATAAAAAAATGATGCCTCTGGAATCTAAGCTCTAAGAGGTAATGAAACCAAGCATGTACATTAAATCATGTATAGCATAAAAACAATGGAGTTGTGATATTCTAAAATAAGAAATTTTGAATTATGCTTATGGATTTTCAAATTTGAGCTGGCCCTTCCTGTCCATGGGTTATCTGTGAACCCAACCAATCACAGATAAAAACTACTTGGAACAAAAATACATCTGTTCTGCAAATGTGCATAATTATTTTCCTTGCATTATTCTCTAAACAACAGAGTATAACAACTATTCACTTAGAATTTACATTTAGTCTAAAGATGATGTAAAGTATTTGGGAGGATGTATGCAGGTTATATGGAAATACTCCACCATTTTATATAAGGGACCTAAGCATCCATGGTCCTCCACAGACACTGAGGGATGATTATAGTTACATGACTGACTTATTATGGCTATATATCTTTCCTCACAAATTTTCAATTATCACAGTTTTAGAAATTTTATAAAACAAAGTAGGAATTATATCAAAGCACAACAGTTATGTTAAAATTTCCTTATTTCCTAAAGCAGTAGTCTTCCTTACATTTGTTACCAATATTCCATTAACAAGCGACATTTTCTATTTTCTAGAACAACCCTGCAACATAGGCACAAGAGGTGCTTTTCCACCCTACATGGAAAGAAAACAAGGTACAGAAAAGTGGGTGGCCCTGAACAGAGTTCCACCTTTTTATTCCTAATTCAAACCAAACCACACTTCCTCCTGGAAATTAACAGATTTAAGGAGCAGCAGAAAGTGAGTGGTGCCAACTCACCAATGAACATCATTCATTCATTCTAAAATAAAACTGTAATAAATTCCTACTTTATGGCTAATATTTCTGGTACAACAGCTAGAAACAAGAACAAGTTCTGTGGAGCTCATAGTAAAGTTGAAAAAATAAACATGTAAGCAGATAATTATACTTAAATAGATAATCCTTTCTAATACAATATAGTCACATACACAAACAGCTAGCCGAGCTGAGCATTGTACCCTGGTAGAGACAGACTCCCCAGGAGGCCAGAGTGTTAAAGGAGAACAATAGTCATCCTACAGTTCAATCTGCAGGAGGCATTTTCAGGGGGTGATTAGTCCTTATATGAATATACAGTTCTGAAGGGAAATCAGAAACAATATAGAGATAAAGATGTTGGGGGTGAGGGCAGTGAATCTGCTGTGGCACCACTTCTTATTTATCCAGCAAATGGCTCTCATCCTGAGACTTTAGCAGAGATAATGCAGGAAGGGAGGAACTAATTCTATGTGTGAGGGTTGGGAAACTTTTTCTTTAGAGAAAATGACAATAAACTCAATACTGAAGGATATACATGAATGTGTCAAGAAGAGGAAATGAAGGTGGAAACAGTTGAGCATAATGATGAATTATACAGTAACAACAGTTCTTTTATTTTTATTGTTGTGCTGGGATTACATTGTGGCCTTTACAAAAGTTCTTGCAATATATCAAATATATCACAGTTGAATTCACCCCCACCATCATTCTCCTTTATCCCTCCCCCCCTACCCATTCCTGGAATAGTTTCAACATGTCTCATTTTTCCACTTACATACATGTGTACTCAGTATTTGCACTATATTCACCCTCCTCCCATGCACTTTTCTGACCCCCTCCCCCTTCCACTGATACCAATCCCAGATAGAACCTGTTCTACCCTCCTGTTCTCCAATCTTGTTAAAAAAAAATTTATTTTCTTTGTTTGTTTAAGATAGCTATACATGGAGCTTCTTTGTGACATTTCCATGTATATATGTATTATAAACCAAATAACAATAGTTATTTTCTGATTGTCTGTTATGAGCCAATACTACGCTGTGTTTCTAAGTCAACTTAGTCCTTACAGTATTACTACATCCTTAAAGAAGTAGGTAATATTATCATCATGTCCATTCTATAAATGAGAAAACTAAGACATAGAAAGGTTAAGTAACTAATAACTCAGAGTAAACTATATCATAAGAATTCAAATTTATTGTCTAATTTCAGAACACAGTCTCAACAACCATGATATGGAACCTATGTATGTTGGATTTTAACAATACTGCAATTTGAAAAGTACTACTTTTAATATTCTTTTATAAATTTTATGGATTATGTATATCTTAAAAAAAAAAAAGGTTGCCTGAAACCTACCTTTCATTTCTAGTATCTGTGTTCATTTAATAAAATTAAGCAAGTTATGTCAGTCCTGCAGATAAATTAAAAATTCTATCAAATAAAATAAAATAATCAAATGCCTAATGCTTTTAATGCTTTTTTTAACCTTAGTAACTTCAAAACAGTGATAAATGTGCAAACCCACATCATTTCAACTGCCAATGAGTGCACCTTCCAGCCCAGCAAGTCAGGCTCAATTTTGTGGGACTTTCAAACCTGCAAGTATATTCAATGAAACAAAAGTTCATTCTGCACTATTTATATCCTTAATGTCTATTCATTTTCTGTCATTGTCCCTGCTCCATTGCCTTCTTGTCTCTGCCTTCAAATAGCATCAGTCTCCTAAATCTGGACCTAAAAACATTTTCAATCATCTGCAAAGCCCTATTGCTTTTCACAACTATATTCTATATCCTCTGATCTCTTACTGACGAACACCAAAAAGAAAGACTAGCATACAAGATGGAAAATTAAATGAGCTCCAGAGTCTGGACACAGAATGTCTTGCTTATTGCTAATGACCTACATGACCTTGTAAAATTTATTTTTGAATGGTATGCCTCCATTATTGGTGAAAAAAATAAAATGTTGGCTAATTTGATCTCAATGATCCATTCAACTATTTGCTGAACAAAGAGATACAGGTATCTATGACAGAGCTCAGACACAATGACATCATGATTAGTTAAATCATACTTTCATTTAATAGAGTATATTTTAAAAACATAAAACTCATGTCCATAGGGAGGTCACTGTGAGAACAGATAGGCAACACAACCCTAATAGATACTTTTCTCATTAAAGTTTCAGTTCTACAAATCCAACTAATCTTTACCACACCTATATTTTAATTTCAATATGTTTCTAGAATTTGTCCATTTTATTACTGTGTAAGGAAGGAATCTGTGGTAACAAAACACATCTCCCCTAGGAGAGATGAAAAATCCATGCTATTTTTACATCAAGGCAGTTTAGAACAAGGTATGAATTGAAAGTAGTAATTCTTTCAGAAGGTGCATTCTGTTTCACACCAAATTGGGCCATATACATTATCAAATGATTCCAGCATTATAGTTATGGGAGAGTGCTTTAAAATTATACATCAAAGAAATAGTTCTGTTAAAATCTCTCTTAATGGGAACTGCATTAGCTAGAGTTGCTGTCAAAGTAATAGCCTAGTAGAATTGCTCATTTTTTCAGACTAACATACTTCAATAGACATACTAGAGATAGAACATAAAGTCATATAATTCTACAAATATTTTATTAGGCAGAATGTGAGATTCAAGTGTAGGCGCAATGCATCAAAATTTATCCTATAATTACCACTTGAACAATCCTTCCACAAAGGCATGAGATAAAATAGTTGTCAACTCTAGGCCAATATGAGAGACAGTGTACCATTAAACAAAAGCAGAGGTGTTGTACCTAAGCTTCCACTCTGAACTGATTTCTCTTAGAAATAACATCTTGAGTTCTAAAGCCAATGCTAAAACAGAGAATCAACAATTCAAAATAAACTCATTCTTCTGTGAAGTAATAAAAGGGTGTGAATTTTTAAAGGATGTTCAGATGGTCAAAAAGAAAAATGACATTAGCCTTGGAAGATATCTATAACCAAAAATTTTCATGATTAAATAAGTGTCACATAGTGTAAGGTCCCTCTTAAAAATTTACACTACAGCTGGGTGCTGGTAGTACACATCTTTAATCCTAACTACTTGGGAGGCTGAGATTGGGAGGATCACAGTTCAAAGCTGGCCCAGGCAAAAAGTTCTTGAGATTCCACCTCAACCAATAGCTGGGAGTGGTGGTCCTTGCCTGTCATCCTAGCTACGCAGTAGGCTGAGATAGGGAAGATCACAAATCCAGGCCAGCTTGAACTAAAAAAGGCTATGAGACACTATCTCTACAGAAAAAAAAGGGTGTGGTGGTGTGTCCCTTTCACTCCAGCTATGGCAGGAAGCTTAAAATAGGAGGATCGTGGTCCAGGCTGCCCTGGGCAAAAAACGAGCCCCTGTCTCAAAATATCAGAGCAAAAAGGGCTGGAAGCATGGCTCAAGTGGTAGAGCATCTGCCTAACAAAGATGAAATCCCAAGTTCAAACTCTAGTACCACCAAAAATAAAGAGAGAGACCTGTAGTAAGGAAAACTTACTTAACCTTTACTTCTGATTTCCCCAACTCTGTTTAACCAATGAACACTTTGCTCTCTAACAATGAGCAATACTTCCTGACTGCACACAAGTGGCAGGTACTCGTCCATGTGCTTTAGGAAATTAACTTATTTCATCCTCCTAACAAACCTATGTGCCAGGTACTAGTACCACCCCCATGTTACAGAAGCATACACTGTGTCAAAAAAGGTGAAATACCTTCCTCAAAGCCACACAGTAACTGGCAGAGCTGGAGTTTGAACCCAGGATAGTCTGGCTCAGACTTCTCTTAATCTCCAGGATACACTGCTACTATGTAATACCTATTAGAATTTAAGGACCTAATGGTTTCTGGAATTTATGCTGGCAAATGCTGGCATATATAATTTGTATTTATGCAAAAGGGTAAAAAGGATTTCATAGGAAAAGACTGTGAGGAAATAGTCAAAAATCCTAGTTAACTTATTTGTGTTTTGCTATAGGACTATGGAAGATTTTTTTTCCTTTAAAATTTTACTGTACAAGTTTCTTCAAAAAACTCATATTAATAGTTCAATTTTACTGAATGCTTACCATATGCAAGAATCAGTTCAAAATGCATCCCATACATTAACCCATCAAGTTTTCATCTCCTTAAAATGAGTACTATTATCTCTATTTTACAGATGAAGAAACTGAGGCTTAAGTGTCAGTGGTTTGCAAAGCATGAAGTTAAAACTTCTTTCATAATAATGATTACAATGTTATTTTCCATTTTCATTGTCCTGACTTTTGCACTGATCTTATTTTATCACAATGGTGTTAAAAATGTTGCACCTTGGCACAAATCAAGGGAGCAACAGTGCTGAACTAGCAGTCACTGTATTTTTTTTCACTCACAGTTTAAGAACAGGTCAGTATCAGTTAAGAAAGCCCTTGATACAGCAGTAGAAAGCATTAACTTTATTACACTTCAACTCTTGAAAGCATGTCTCATTAACATGCTGAGTGACAAAATAGGAGGGCCATGTAGCACTTTTGCTGCATGCTCAACTATGCTAGCTACATCAGGAAAAAGCTCTGAGGAAACTGAGTAACAATGTGAACCAGCTGCTCTTCATAGAACACTATTTTTACCTAAAAGAGTAACTGTCTAACCACATCTAAATGGCTGTTCAGATAAGGGGTAGTCTTTGCTGGACATTTTCTCAAAGTAAATTAAATGAGACTATCACTTGAAGGAAAACAAATGACACTGTATTTGTTGTCACTGATAACATTTAACCTTTCAAGCCAAAATTAGAACTTTGGAAAACAACTACGACAACCAAGAACTTGATACCTTCCCACTATTTAAAAATCTTTCCGATGAGGCTGTTTGTGACCTTAATGGATGTGCAGTGCTTGTTTCTTTAAAACTTAGTACAAACTCCATGCAGGGCAAAAAGACTTAAGGGAAGGCTTGCTAGAAGCTTTTGGAAAAGAACATTGCTCCTGCTTCAAGGAAAGTGTTCAGAGGCCAGCCCAGTTTCTCTTTCTGAGCAGTGTGACATGAGGCTATGCAGCCTGGAACTACTACAATGATTCCAACCCCAAAGGGAAGCCAACCTCAAGGTGAAGCTGACATCTCAGGAGGCACAGAGGAGGTGGAAGCAATAGACAAAATATCCCAACAGCTGAATTAAGTCTCTCCTAAAAGCCATCCTACCTCAAGACCACCTAACACAGCCTCCTAAATGCCAATGCCATGTGAGTCAGGTATTCTGTTACTTACGGCATACAGACTCCTAAAATGAGGCATTCTTTTCAAAAATGAGGATAATGTAACACTCATAATCAAAGAAAAATTTTTACTATGAAAATCCACACTGAATTTATATAGTCTCATATGGAAATAAAATTATTTTAAATTACCTTTTCAGTGTTCTTGTATTTTTCCCATCCTTTTAGCATTTTCAGCCATTTGGTAGTTCTTTCAATTTCCAGGTGCTTTTGCTAAAATAAAATTGAAATTCATTGTTATTGGTTGTTTGAATTTTCATTATTTACAAATTACAAAAAAAGAAAGAAAATGCTGCTAAAAAAGTTATGCTATATTAAAGAGAAAATATTCTATTTAACTTTTTGTAAGTTGGATATTAATTGTCTCAATAGTATTCCAAGACTAAAGTTAAGAATTAAAAGAGGGGATTCCAAGATGGTGGCTAGAGGGAGGAAGCAGAAAGCATACCTCCTAAAGTAAAATATTGGAGAGACACTGGAGATACACCTTACAGGAAAAACCACTGAGAAGAGGCAAAACTTTGACCCCTCCACATCTGCAGCCTGCGCAGCACATCTCCACTTCATGTTAAAAGGAGAAACCAGGAGGGCACCCGGGCCACCGCCAGACGCCAGCAACCAGACGGCTTGGGAAGTCGTGGACCACAAGGTGAGCTAAGTGGTACACGATACTCCCACAGACAACCCTGGGGCAGATCAACATAGCCCCCTGGACAGACTGACCCCCACCCAGGGAAAAAAAGAGAAACTGAGTAATAAGCACTAAGAACAATAAAGACATGTAGCAAAGAGGGTGGGGCGCTCTGAGCGCCAAAGAGGAGGGGAGGAGAATCCCTCACAGAACTGTAAATAAAACAGGCTGGGCCGGAGAAGGCAGGAGTGGCAGCACACATCCAGCAACCAGGAGCAGGAAAGCTTGTAAAAGTGGCTGAGGGAGGAAAATTCCACAGGAGAGGGGAAAAGACCCACTTTCCATGTGAGCTGTAAACAAATATGCTGGCCTGAGAAAGCGGGTGTAGTGTCACCTCCCCCAGTGTGTTTGGAAAGGGGAAAGCTTGTAGAAGCGGCTGGCACACAGGAGAACTCTGAGTAAACAGACCAAAAATCGTATGTTCTCCCTCATATGTGGACATTAGATCAAGGGCAAACACAACAATGGGATTGGACTTTGAGCACATGATAAAAGTGAGAGCACACAAGGGAGGGGTGAGGATAGGTAAGACACCTAAAAAATTAGCTAGCATTTGTTGCCCTTAACACAGAGAAACTAAAGCAGATACCTTAAACGCAACTGAGGCCAATAGGAAAAGGGGACCAGGAACTAGAGAAAAGGTTAGATCAAAAAGAAATAACCTAGAAGGTAACACACACGCACAGGAAATCAATGTGAGTCAAGGCTCTGTATAGCTATCCTTATCTCAACCAGCAAAAACCCTTGTTCCTTCCTATTATTGCTTATACTCTCTCTACCACAAAATTAGAAATAAGGGCAAAATAGTTTCTGCTGGGTATTGAGGGGGTGGGGGGGAAAGGGAGGGGGTGGAGTGGGTGGTAAGGGAGGGGGTGGGGGCAGGGGGGAGAAATGACCCAAGCCTTGCATGCACATATGAATAATAAAAGAAAAAAAAAAGCCTGCAGGGCCAGGTGAGTGTTAAGCTCATGCCTGAGATCTGCATAAATAATGCCTCCAGCAACAGCAGGCTGACAGCAGCAGGCAGGCAAGCCACAGCCACAGATAGCCATTCATAGACCTGTCTCCAGACTCTTTTTTTTTTTCATTTCTCTCTCCCTACCTTTGATGAGACAAAAACCGAACTATGCCTGCATGCTGAAAAACTTACTGAAATTGTATTGCATTTGAACTTGGGACACTTTGTGGGTTTTTTTTCCTTTTGTGTGGTTTTGCTTTATTTTATTTTTCCCCTTTGATGAGACAACTACAGAATAACATCTGAGGCACCATCTGAGGCTGAAGGACGAACACCAAAATTATTAAAACTGAAACTTTATTGCATTTGAACTTGGAGTTTTTTTTATACATATTTTTATTTATTTATTTATTTATTTATTTTCAATCCTCTATCTAATGCCTTTTCAACTTATGGTTCATTAGTACACTGTCTCTCCCTGTTTAAATCTTTGAAACTTTTTTAGTTTGTTTCTCTGTTTTGTTTTTTTCTACTTGTTTATTTGTTTTTCCCTTTTCCTTTAACTTCTTTGCTTTCCATCTCCTCTCACCCTTCCATTCTAAATATCACCATTGTTATTATTACAAGCCAGAAAATACTTAATTGCACACAGTACAGGGACAATAACAACAACAAGGGCAATGACGGGAAGACAGAAAAAACAGGGAAACCAATTTCTCCACAGCAAAAAATTAGTACATGAACCAGAGGGAAATGAAGAAAACACATACTCAGACCCAGACTCCAACAAAATGAAGATAAACTATGCCAAAGAACCCAATGAAGCACACAAGAATAATCTAAAAGAAGAAAAACTACAGTTACTCAATCAGAATTTTATAGAGATGATACTGGATATGGTCAACCAAAATGTACAGGAGACACTCAAGAAATTCCAAGACAACAAAAATAGAGAATTTGAGAAAGCACAAGAGGAAATAAAAGAAACCATAGAAGTACTGTATAAACACCAAAGTCAAACAAAGAACACAATTAATAAAGAGATAAGTGAACTCAGGAAAAAATAGATAACATTACAGAGGAAACGACCCAGGATATGGAAAACCTCAGAAAAAATAACGAAACAGAACTGCAAAACAATATGGAAGGCCAATCCAGCAGAATAGACCAAACATAAGACAGACTCTCAGAACTCAAAGATGAAATGGTAATTAAAGGAAAAACTGAAAACTATTAGTTAAATACTCAAGACTTGTGAAAAGGAAATGCAAGAACTCACCGACTCCATCAAAACACCAAACCTGAGAATCATGGGCATCAAAGAAGGAGAAGAGGTGAAAGCAAAGGGAATGCGTAATATAGTCAACAAAATAATAACAGAAAATTTTCCCAATCTAGAGAAAGCTATTTCCATACAGATGCAAGAGGCCTCGAGAACAACAAAAGACCAGATTAAATTAGAACTACCTCACGACATATCATCATTAAAACAAGTTCAGAAACTAGGGAAAAAATAGTGAAGGCTGTACGAGAGAAACCACAAATAACATACTAAGGTAAACCTATCAAAATCACAGCAGACTTCTCAACAGAAACATTAAAAGCAAGAAGAGCTTGAGGAGAGATCTTCCGGGCACTGAATGAAAATAACTTCAACCCTAGGATACTCTACCTAACAAAACTATCATTCAAAATAGATGGAGCAATAAAAGTCTTCCACGATAAGCAGAAACTAAAACAGTATGTGACCACAAAGCCACCACTACAAAAGATTCTTCAAGGGATTCTGCATACAGAAAGTGAAACCCAACATAAACGTGAAAGGACAGGCAGCACCAAACTACAGGAAAAGAAAAAGCAAGAAAGTAGAGAGTAACCTCAACTTAGGCACACACAATCAAACCTTCAAACAACTAACACAACTAAATGACAGGAATCACCACATACCTATCAGTACTAACGCTTAATGTTAATGGACTTAATTAACCCATCAATAGGCATCATTTGACCAAATGGATTAAAAAGGAAGATCCAACAATTTGTTGCTTACAGGAGACCCATCTCACCAACAGAAATAAGCATAGGCTTAGGATGAAAGGCTGGAAGAAGATTTACCAAGCCAATGGCCCCCCAAAACAGGCAGGAGTAGCAATACTTATCTCTGACAAAGTAGACTTCAAACCTACATTAACCAAACGAGATAAAGAAGGACATTCCATACTAATAGAAGGGGAAATAGACCAAAAGGAAATAATAATCATCAACCTATATGAACCCAATGTCAACACACCCAATTTCATCAAACATACCCTGAAAGACCTAAAAGCATATATAAACGCCAACACAGTGGTTGTGGGAGACTGTAACACCCCATTATCATCAATAGATGGTCATCCAAACAAAAAATCAATAAAAAAATTGAAGATCTAAAATGTACCATAGATCAAATGGACCTAGTTGATGTCTATAGAACATTCCATCCAACTTCTACTCAATATACATTCTTCTCAGCAGCCCATGGAACCTTCTCCAAAATAGATCATATCCTAGGGCACAAAGCAAGCCTCAGCAAATATAAGAAAATAGAAATTATACTGTGCATTCTACCTGATCATAGTGCAATAAAACTAGAACACAACAACAAAAGTAAAGACAAAAAACAAGCAAACACCTGAAACTGAATAAATTCATTACTTAATGAAGAATGGATAATCGATGAAATAAAAGAGGAAAAAAAAAAGTTCCTGGAAGTCAATGAAAAATGAAAACACAACCTACCGACCTATGGGACACAGCAAAGGCAGTCCTGAGAGGAAAGTTTATAGCCATGAGTGCATATATTAAAAAGACTGAAAGATCCCAAATCAATGACCTAATGATACATCTCAAACTCCTAGAAAAACAAGAACAAGCAAATCCCAAAACAAAGAGGAGAGAAATAATAAAAATAAGAGCAATGAAATAGAAACCAAAAAAACCATACAAAGAATTAATGAAACAAAAAGTTTGGTTCTTTGAAAAAATAAACAAGATCAACAGACCCCTGGCAAACCTGACTAAAATGAGGAGAGAAAAAACCCAAAATTAGTAGAATCAGGAATGCAAAAGGGGAGATAACAACAAACACCATGGAAGTCCAGGAAATCATCAGAGACTACTTTGAGAACCTATATTTCAAATAAATTCAAAATCTTAAAGAAAATGGACAGATTTCTAGAAATACATATGATCATCAAAACTGAACCAAAGAGGATAAATCACCTGAATAGATCTGTAACACAAAATGAAATTGAAGCACAATCAAGAGTCTCCCAAAAAGAAAAGTTCCAGGACCTTGATGGACTCTCTGCGAATTGTATCAGACCTTTAAAGAAGAACTGATACCAACCCTCCTTAAACTGTTCCACGGAATAGAAAGGGAAGGAAAACTGCCTAACACATTTTTATGAAGCCAGTATTACACTTATCCCAAAACCAGGCAAAGAACCTCAAAAACAGAACTAAGGCCAATCTCCTTTAATGAACATTGATAGCAAAAATCCTCAATAAAATAATGGCAAACCGAATTCAACAACACATCAAAGAAGATTAT